TTTTTTTGTTACTTTGTACAGCGATACAGGTGCTTGATGCTTTGCGTAGGTAGGAAGGAGCTACGTACTAGTTATAATTGAGCTAGAGATCTTTTATGTCGTTTTCGTGTCCGGGTGTATTGGAGCACCGGTGATGAGGATTCTGTCATAGCTGGCCGCAAGGCCCGTCTATCGATATATAGATATAGTTGAGTACAGTACCCTCCCGTCACTGCACCACCATCTCCAAGATCTCCAACACCTGGCTCTTCTCCTTCAAGGGCACGGGGTTCGTCTGGCACCACCGATCGTGCAGACTATTCTCCGCCAGGCTGTCCAGCTGGTCCCGGCCGACCCCGACCTCCCGGAGGGAGCGGGGCATGCCCAGCTCGCGGATGACCGCATGCAGCACATCGCCCAGGTCCACCTGGTCCAGATCCTCCTTCCCTTGGCGGCGCAAGACATCAACCACCTCGGCCCGTTTGACGAGGAACTGTTTCAGCTTCTCCTGCCGGTCCCGATTCGCCCCGTGCGCCGCATTATACTTGCAGACGGCGGGCAGCAGGATACAGGAGGTTTCGCCGTGACCGACGCCGAGGGGACCTAACTAACGAAGTTCCGGGGGAGGAAACACATCGCCCCTGGCGTTAGCTTTTGTGTTTGCCTCCTTCCTCCCAGTAGCATCCGGTGTTGCTCCGACCTAACCGATCAACCACAACCAAGGACCTGGGTATAAGGAGGGGGAGGAGTGCAGCAAGCAGGAACGGTTGAGGTCTAGGTTGACGTTTACGCCTAGGGTAGAACATAACATACCTGGTGACCGATCCCATGACTCGCCCCCAACTGCAGCGCGCCCTGCTCGGCCGTCACGGCCGCCATGGCTTCCACCGAGCCGAGCTGGCAGTCCAGGCGCGCCGCGACGTCCGCGGGGTCGCGGGCCGTGCGGATCAGCCCGGGCACCAGCAGGCCCAGGGCGTGCAGGGAGAGTTGGTCCGTCTCGGTGGTGGTGCCCCGCGCGGCGCAGTAGGTCTCGACGCCGTGGTCGACGGCGCGCACGCCCGTCGACAGCCAGACGCGCGCCGGCGTCGTCGTCGTCAGCGCCGGGTCCAGGATCACCAGCCCCGGGCCCCGGATCGGGAACTGAAAGCTGTGCTTGCGGCGCGTCGTGTCGTGCGTCGCGCCCGCGAACGAGCTGTATTCCCCGGCGGACAGGGAGGTCGGGATCGAGATGATCGGGATGGAGGGCGGGTGGAGGTCGGCGGATTGGGAGGGTCCCGTTGGCAGGGTGGAGAGGGCCGTCATTGTGGTTGCGTTGTTGGCTAGGGCCTTTTTTTGTTGCTGGTTAGTTAGGTATTGAGTTGTGGCGGTGGTGGTGGTGGTGGTGGTGGATGTAGATGTATATGGTGGGCGGATGGGGCTCGGCTGGCTAGATCATAGGATACATATAGATAGGACCGGACAGCTAGTTTGTCCTGTCTGCACATTATGTGTATTTTCCTCGGGGTATTGGAGGCTTGTAGAGGGGTCAGGCTAGTATGGAGAACGATCGAGAGACTCACCAACGCAATCACTTTGGCTGCATCTGTCAGGCTGCCAGCCCCCAGGGTAATCAAGCAATCGGCCTCGACTTCTCTCGCGGCGTTCGCGACCTCCAAGACCTCGGACCACAGCGTGTGGCTCTGCATGCCAATCCGTTTCCCGACCACTTTCTTCTCGCCGATTGCGGCGACCAGTCGGTCCAGCGCATCGGTGTTGCGGGCTAGGGATCCGGAGCAGATGATGTAGACTCGGGAGGCGTGGAAAAGGTCGTCAACGTGGTGGGCGGCGGCGGCGGGGAAGGGAATCCCGTAGGAGAGCAAGGGCCGTGGGCGGTCGACAAAGGCGGGGCGGAGGGTTTCTGTCATGTTTGTTAGTGGTAGTATAGCAAGGAGTATAGAGTACGAAGAAGACAGAGAAAGTGGAATAGATAAGTCTGAGGAGATGTTGAAGGTCGGGGAATTATTTACTTGACTTACATAGTATGAGTACGTCCTTGTATAAGCCAGTAGTTATGTGGAAGTGGGGCTGACATATCAACAACAAGAAGAGCGGGGTGGAGCGGAAATGATGTAATCAAGCATTCAATTCAATTCAAGTCAGTAAACATAGAAACATTGAACTCATCGTCAGTACGCCAAACACCTCAGGTCAAAAGCCCATTAAGTCAATCAGCAGTGAAGTGAGCCTGCCCCGCCATTAGTTAATAACTACACATAAGTAATAGCAACGGCGTAAACAGCGACAACGATTAGATTAATCAGTACAACAGCATCACCATCACCATCACCATCACCACCTCCACCTCATGCAGACTTCTCCTCATCGGTCACAGCGGCCCGCAATTCCCACACAATATCATAGCATTCCGCCAACAAGGCGTTCACACTGCCCTGTCCTTCGGGGATATCAGTTCCCACGTAGAATTTGCCGTCCACCCGCATGTTGTCAATCGAGTTCAACTGTCACAACGGTTAGCTTAAACAGTGCCAGCCACATCGGGAAATACACGCCTTCATGCTGTATGGGTAAAGCTCGCGCGAATTAGACACGCCCCCGGACTCCTGCACCTCCAGCAGGCATTTGCGCAGCGTCTGTAGCTGATTGTACACCGGCAGCAAAGCCTCCGAAACTGGTTCGGATGAGATCAACAGGGAGTAGATGTATCCGTAGCTTCGTCGAATCAGATAGAGCAAAGTCTGTGACCACCCACCAGTCAGCGCACGTCACATACCCTCGTCTCACATCAAGCCTACCCTTTGCGCATGGACATCCGCCACGTTCCCCTCATTGTCGACGAAATTCCCATTGACCCGCGCTTCATCGATGCGATCGAGTTTCCGCTGGTAGCCGAAGAGGTCCGTCTCGCGGAGAGACCACGCTTGTGTGACGGAAAGCCGATCTAACTGGTTTTTGATATCGATCAACCGGTCGTATTGTTCTTGGAAGCGCTCATCAATCTTGCCTTCCCTACGATAGAGTCAGCGACTGGCTTTCGGACATGCAAGTGAGCAGTGTCACATACCGTTCCAGAACAATCTCCGTCCAACGCCAGCACCGTTCCAGTAGTGTCTTAGTCGCATCCTGAGCCCCAGGCAGAGGCACACCGTCTGCATCAACAAACTGTCCGTCCTTCATGCTCGCTTGGACTTTCTTCAACTGCTCGCGCAGGTTGTTGACCTCCGAAGCCGAGAACTGGGTGGTCAGATTAGCGGGCTTCTGCGACACCCCTGAGAAGTCCTACCTTCGACCGAGTGTTGACGGCGGAGGTTGACCGCAGAACCGACACCAGCGTTTCATGGATTGATGCCAAGCCCGGACTCAGTTTGGCGAGTCCACTCTGTAGCTTCTCGAGCTGCAATTGGCACTTCTCCAGGCGACTTTCCAACAGCGTAATCAAGGCAGGCGAGTACGCATCGCGACAGCGCTCGAGGGTCTCATTCGTGTTGGTGAGAGTCTTTGTAATCGAGCTCAGGTCTTTCGCGCTGTAGAAGCCGGCTTCTTCGAGGTGGTCGAGGAGTCGCTAAAGTAGGGGGCGTTAGACCGGTGGCCGGGGGAACAAACCACAACCCAGCACAACCACATACCTGCACCGTGGTCGCAAGAGAGTATCTGCACGCGCGATAAGAGTCAGATGAAGGCGGACGGGGCAGTGGGGCGATCAATCAATGAGGGACCTACAGCGCCGGAGCTTCATTGTTTCTCCCCACCGTCAAAAACAGCAAGGAGATCAACTGGAAACAATCGTCGAGGACATAATCCACTAGATCCGAGCCAGAGAAGGAGAAAGGTCAGCGACACCATCGCACATCAAATCTTCATGCACAGGCCCACTCAGTGCTAACGTCGGTTATGTGTCAGCCGGCGGTCTTCTTCCTTCCGAACGGCATTGAGCTTCTCCACCTCGGCAATGACCTCTTCGTACATCGGGAGCACGTCGCGGGATTTGATGTAGGTCGACTTGTCTTGTTTGAGGAGGAGGAGCGCATCGCGGGTGCGCAGGAGGCGCTCGAGGATGGGTTGCTCCTTGGGATTTAGCGGAGCGGGGACCGCGGGGGAGTCCATGATGTGCGAAGGTGTAGATAAAAGGTGGGGTGGGAGGGGAGAGGGAGGGGAGAGGGAGGGAGGGAGGGAGGGAGGGAGGGAAGGAGATGAGGTGTAGATGAGAGAATCTGAAAGTCTGTATAAAATCAAATGGCCGAGAGAGTGTGAGAGCCAAGGGCGCGATCAAGGCAAGTTCAGCTTTGGTCTGGAATAAAGGCCCGGCAGCATCAGATGAGGTGGTGAACGGAGTAAGTACATAAGTAAGTAGATTAGATGATGATGGCATCGCCGAGCGGCATGTCCTTATCGGGACTAGGGTGGAAGTCACGGGTGCTGGGGGGGGGGAGGGAGGGACTAAGCCCGAATGAGAGCAGCCCTAAGCGAGGGCTTTGACGCGGCGGAAACACACAACTTCCACTTCCGTAGTGGGTGAAGCGTTAGTCACTCACAGTCCGACTCCCCTTCTCGACCAGGCCAGTTACAAAAAAGTCCCCTTCGTCCTTTTTCCTCTTCCCTAATCCCCATCCCTCTCGAGACTCCAGTCCAGTCCAACCTCCCGTCGACCATCATGTCTACTGCTGAGCTCGCTTGCTCCTACGCGGCCCTCATCCTCGCCGATGACGGCGTCGAGGTCACCGTACGTATCCCCATTGTCCTTGATTGACAGTTGATTTGGTTATGATTGTGCTGGGTATCTGGACGGACCCTCCCCCTTGGTCGCATGGAAACGGCGCTGGGAAATTGGAAAGGCGACAAACCGACGTACGAGGTCGCGGAGAAGTCAAGAGAAGGAAAATTGAAGGTTATCGACACAACGACGGGAAATTTTCACACAATCTTCACACAAAACTGCGACACGGCTCAAACTCGACTGGGGAAGGGGAGGGAAATCCGGATATTTCGCGCATGGTTTTTTTTTTTTTCCAAGGCACAGGGGAACAATCAAAGCTGACTAGGAATTTCGTTCCATCTTCATGCAGGCCGACAAGCTCCAGACCCTCATCTCTGCCGCCAAGGTTCCCGAGATCGAGCCCATCTGGTCTTCCATCTTCGCCAAGGTAAATACACCTAATTGATCCGTGCATTCCTCTTTCTACAACCACTGCCGCAACCTACGCAATTCTCTCCACCACCAATCGCACCGACTTCGATCGATCTATCTCTATATCAGAATCAGACGCTCACCACTGGTTTTCTTATCTACAGGCTCTCGAGGGCAAGGACATCAAGGATCTCCTGACCAACGTTGGCTCCGGTGGTCCCGCCGCTGCCGCCCCCGCCGCTGCTGCCGGTGGCGCCGCTGCCCCCGCCGAGGCTGCTGAGGAGAAGAAGGAGGAGGGTATGTTCTCCATCGTCCACCACCCGATCCGCGATTGTGCTAGGAGCCGCTGGCTAATACATCCCCCACAGAGAAGGAGGAGTCCGACGAGGACATGGGCTTCGGTCTCTTCGACTAAATGTCCTAAATCCTTTGTTCCTTGGATCTGGATTCCCCATCATTTCCTTTTTGCTTCCTCGTTTCCTATCTTCTTCTCTCTCCCTCGCGCCCCCTCGCATCTCCTGTACCTAACACTACTCGACCACACGAAGATCAAAATGGGAAAATTAAAAGAACGAATCAAACGGACAATGGCGATCCGGTGGGACTGGGCGCTCCGGCTTGCATGATGGGCTTTTCGACGTGACAAGAGAGGTACTGGACCCGGATGACGCTAGGATTCCGGGCCCCGTTGGGATCTAGTCAAAAATAGTCGGTACGGAGGGCTGATTCCGTACTCGGGTTTTGATTTCTATGTCATGTTATGCTTGTTGCTAGCTACGTTTCGAGCTTAGGTGCCCAGCTCTCCTGCAATGTCTGTCATGCGACCATGAGCAAAACCTCGTCCCCGGATTGTTTGGCCAGATTGTAATGAGATCACCTTTTAGAGTCTGTAGATCAGAAGTCCAGACGCCACTAGTGCTACGCCTTCATGTCGAAGTGGAACATGCATGTGATGGTCCCACGCATTATACCCTGCTTGTAATGGTCATAAATTACAAGATGCCTTTGATGTAAATATACAAGATGAAGCAGTCAGTCGCAAGGAAAGACAAGCAAAAACTTTTCAGAAGCATCGACCGCCCCAGCGCAACACCCGCCGAATACAGAATAAAAGCACAACAACCCCAACCTGCCAGCTCAGAGAATAAGACACGCTAAACCACCCGCATAGTTTTAATCAAAGCAAAATCAGATGTACAAGGAAATAATTATAGCGTATCCTCAGGGTCCTGGACAGCATAGAGTCGAAATTGGATGAATATCGTCACATCCTCGATCATTGTGCCCAGGGAGCCAATCAGCCATGGCACGTTGGTGATGATATAGTTCCGCTCCGTGGAGTGGCAGAGAATCTGTAGATGCAAACCGTCAGCCCATTGACTTTCAGGAAATAAGTCCCGACTTGGGCTTACCCCTGCGCCATAAGTCAGATTTCCCATGAGGGAAAGAATGAAGAATAGAAGTGAGAGTCCTGGATGTATGAAGTGTCAGCAAATCCGGACCCGGCCTCCGGCGGGGTGACACATGGTGACACATACCCTCGCATGACTTTTCGCAATAGTTCTTATAGATCTGCGGCAGACGCGCACTGTTGTTGTTGTTGTTGTTTGTTAGCAACCAAGTTTCCCCTCACAGCAATAGAAAAAAAGCCAACGCCATGAGTTTACTGAATGCATATGAACTTACCCCAGATAGCAGAGCGCGCTAATATATCCCAGCACCATCGCGCCCGGTGCCATGTCCACTCCACCATCCACCTCCTTGGGGGCCGGCTTCCAGACACCCGTCTGCCAGGCCATGGTCCAGCCCGCCATGCCGATGACGCAGATGGCCAGCACGCTGCTGAAGTTCTTAACCCAAGCCTTGCGACCGACGTCATTCTCCTCGACAATCTTCGCGAGGGTGTCTTCCGGCCCCGAGGCAATGCCTTGCACATAACCCTCCGCCCGGCGCGCAGCCGGACGATGGTGCTCGACCGCGTCGCTGAACCGTCGGCCCAGCAGGGGAGTGACCGTGTCCGGGGTTTCCACGGAAGATCGTCTCCGACGATGGCGCGCCGCGGCTTGGCGCGAGTTGCGGGCCTTATAGTACAGACATTGGCTGATGAGGACGCCGTCCGCGATACAGAAGTAGACGGCAATGGCGACAATGACGGGGACTAGGCCAGCCCAGGCACCGCCGATGAGGTTGGTGATGTCGCCAACGAACCAGACGAAGAGGAAGAGAAGGGAGATGGCCTCGGCGTTGCCGTTGCGGTAATTCTCGATGAGCTGAGGAACCTATGCACATTCTCCAATCAGCATATCTTGCTTCACGCAGATACACCCAGTCCTGTGGGTACAGGGTCATTCATACAAGAAGGAAAATCCAGCAGGTGAGCGAAATGGAGCCAAGCAGTCCCGACGCTGCTTCGCGCGACGTCAAAGATACGGATTCGGCCATGGGGACGATGCTGTCGCCTGACAACGGGGTCGCCATGTCGAGGGCTTGAGGTCGTGTGAGAGGGGAAAAGGGGAGGGGGGGGGGGCGTCTCGGGTCAATCGCAGGCAGTCAATTTGCGGACAGAGAGAGAGAGAGAGAGAGAGATAAGGGATCGGTTCGTCGGAGAGAATTGCGGTGACAGCGGCTACGGTAGGGTTCCTCGGTGGTCAGAGCGCATGAAGTGCAAGGGCAAAGAATGAGACCGCACAGTCGAAATTTCCACTGAAGGGATTGAAGGGTTTGAGCGGTGGGTGGTCAGGTAATGGTAAGAAAGGGAGAGGGAAAGGGAAGGAGAAAAAAAGAACATGCAGAAGATCCTAGCGAAGGACGCAGCTAAATTAGTACGTCAAGTCTTTTCCTTCCTTTCATTGATTGATTGATTGACTCACGGGATCGATCGATGACGGATGGCCAGCCAGCTGTCTGACTAAGCCCGCGCTCCGCATGTCATCATCTTCGGCTGTTTTCCCACTCGTCCTGCTGCTTATCTATACCTATGGAGTACTGCAAGTACAGTTCATACGCGATGATGTCGAGCGTCTACGGTGGCTTGTCTTATCTTGCGCCTTGCTTATGGTGAGACAAAGTGGGCATTCAATACACCACTTGCCCGATGATAGGCTCACAAGCAAGGGTCCAATCCTGTTCGACTTGCCATCAATATATTTTTGGTGATATCGATCTACATACATCATAGCGTGATGTCTGTCTGCATCACCCCTACTCCATTCACACTCGATGAATAGTCGCTGCTACCACGACCATCTGGCTGTATTCTCCGATTCGTAAATACTAGTCATGATAGCCTACACATAAATTCAAATAGCCCTCAGGGTATCAAACATCCTCCTCGTCATCGTACCGAAGCAGCTGCAACTCATCCTCCAGCATGACAGCCGTCAGCTCACCCATCGCCTCGCGAATAGGACCTGCCAATAAGTTGTCGCGTGCCGACTCGGGCTGAATAGAGTCCAACCCATCCACATATTCGGTCAGAGGGGAATAGTCAACGACGTCCCCCCAGTTCCCCCGGTCCACACCGTACTGCTGAAGGAAAGCCTGAAGCGCATGCATGCCGTCGCCCAAAAGCCATTGCTCCAGGAGCGGTTGTTGGTCCGCACTAGGGGGCCCACGTGCATTGGTCGTCTCGCCGCCGGGGCTCGATGCGTCCTCGTCCCCGATCACCTCGTCGCCGGCGTCGCTATCACGGTTGAACCCGGGGAATTGGATCCCGCCGTTGTTTAGCTGGTCGAGAAGATCCCGAAGCCACTGCGGTCGATTCGCAGCCGGAGTTTGTGCCAGGTAAGACGGAGCAGGATCGGATTGTTGACGATGAGCCTCCGACTCATGCGGGGGAAGAGGGTCAGACGCCGAAATCCTGCCAGAGATGAATCGCCCCGGAAGAAAAGTCGTGACCTTGGGGATATCAGAAAGCACGACGTGGCGCGCAATGTCCAGCGTGATTGCCGGGGGTTCAACCGGCTCCTCTTCATCCGACAGAGTGTCGGCCACTTCCACTATCAAGGAGACCGCTTCCGGAGTGTTCCACAGATCCTTGGCCCGAGAGATGTATAGTTCGGTGAGCAATTCGTGGGCAGTGGTAGGAGGCATCTTGCCCCAGATCCGCTTGGGCATGGGCTGAATGTCCAATTCCTGCGCGAGCTTGCAGAATACCCACGGGTAGCGGGACATGGCTCGGTGGAGTCGTTCGCGGCACTCCTTCGGTTTGTTCAGTCGCAGGTATGCCAGGGCGAGCGAGCACTGGATATTGGGAAGAGTCTCCCACTCCTTGCTCAGCCGAGTCTGCGTGCATAGCTCGACAAAGTGAGAGTATTCTCGACCACGAAGGGCCAAGTGATCGATCAACAGGCGCATGCAGTACGGATCACTCTCATTGAGGCTCAGAAGCAACTTCGCCCACTCATACGCCGTCCGCCACGTTCCCTTCATACCCAGATTCGCAATATACCGCCACCCAACGAGCCAGAGTTCACGGTTGGCCTCCTGCACGAACTCCAGCTTCGCCCGTCCCTGCTTCAGCAGGTTGCCGAAAGAGGAATGGGCCGAGCGCCCGATATTGAAGAGCGCTCGCTCGAGCAGATCCGCGGAGACGGCGTGATCACCCTGATGCTTCGCGATCTCCGATACCTGGAGCAGAGTGGAGATGTGGTAGGGGTTGTATTGTAGGAGGTGAATCATGCGCTGGGGATCCATCGACTCCACGCAGATCTCAAACTGCCTCTGCACATCGATGTACGCCGCATTGTGGAGGATCTTGTAGAGTGTATTGCCGTCCGCGCGTTTCTCGACCAGCTCCATACCCAGCCCTCCGCTGGGCGCCCGGGGCCATTCATCTTTGCCTTGCATAAGGACATTGCGCCGCAGCGTCACGCCCGCCAGGCTCTGGCCCCTGCTAGCAGGGCTATACCTGCCCGTCAGGGCCTGTCCCAAGTCCAGCGTCTCCGGTCCGCGATCCCTCCGACGCCCGCCCGACCCAGTAGCATCCTGATCGAAATTCTCCAGCACCACATTCCCAAACAACTTGCGCATCTCGTTTGTCGCATTGAGATTCCGTGGATCGATCCCCAGTAGATCCTCTGGTGTTTTCGCAAACGAAGTATCACGGCCTGTGGGGTGTTCCGGGTCAACCGCCAGTGCCTTCAGCGCGCGATCGATCTCATCCTCGCCTGTCGTGACCACGGCTGGTTTCCCTGCTTTGGCGGTCGTGGTGGTGGTGGAGACGTTGGCGGCGGCGGCGGTCGCCTTCTTTTTCTTGTTCTTGTTCTTTTTCTTATTCTTCTTTCCTGAGCCTGCGGGCTTCACGGTCCTGGGGGCTTCTCTTTCCTCTTGCTCTTCTTCTTCGTCTTCTTCCCCATCCGCCTTCGCTTCTTGCGCGGGCTGAGTCACCGGCTCAGGCACCTCAACTTCTTTCTCGGACTGTTCGTCGGCGTCGTTGTGGTCATCGTCATCGTTTTCCTCCTCGTCACCGTCTCCAAAGGAGTTCAGAAGGTCGAAGGCGTTGAGTTTCGGTTTTGAGGGTCGTGAAACCAGCTCATCGTCACTGGAGCTGTCATTCGCCTGCTCGGTTTGTATTTGTTGTTCGCGCTGCTTCTGCAGCTTGCGGATGGCACGAGAGGACATTCGAAGGAGTGCGGAATGGAATTCCCGTGGGACAAGCAGGGAAGGGGAAATAAAGCTAATTGGTAGAGGAGGAGGGGGAGGAGGGAGTTGTGGTGTACAAAAAGGAAGCAGGAAAAATAAAAGAATCTCAGCACGCATGGATAATGATTTCCCACGGGGCATGACGACACAGCCGAGAGGGGCTTGGCGGCGGATCTTTTGTTGCCAGCTACTCCGTATACTTGCTTAGCTCCCTTTTCGTGATAGGCCTACATCTGTACTCATTCTATCTAAGATGGATGAAATATATATTTATATCATTTAACTATTTGCACTGAGGAGATATAAGCGCCATCGAGGTATGGTTACAGAGCCGGCAGATATGGCCCAAGCGAACAGCATGTGATATGAAGATGCAAACACTATTGAGCTGCTACTTTACCCTACCCCCGTATAGCAGCACGCATCGCCAGCTTCATACAGGAAGCAAGTAACCTGACAACGAACTATCTGCTATCTGTCACCCTTGGTTTCCTCTCAAGTGCACCAGTTTCTCAACCTCTTTGATCCACTTAAGAGAAAACTCCTCCTCAGTGAACCTAAGCGCAGACTTGCGCGCTCTCAGCCGCATCGCAACCTTCTCCTCTTCCGGAAGAGCCAGGGCGGCCTCAAACGCAGCGGCAAACTCGTCCTCCGTATTCGCCCGGAAACCCGTCGCGCCGTCGCCAAGGTCAACCACGATGTCCTCCCGAGGGCCGCCGGAGTCATGGACCACACTGATCAGCCCCGCGGCCTGATACTCCACAACGCAAATGCCGAAGTGTTCGTTCCACATGGTATTGACGCCAACGGAGGCGGATGCGAGATGCTCAAGAATTGTAGGCCAGCTGGCGTCGCAGAGAAATGTCGTGTTGTCGCGAATGCGTAGTTCGTGGGCGAGCAAGCGGAGGTTATAGATATGAGTCTCATCAGGGGAGGCGTGGCGGACGGAGCCTATGAGAATAAGCTTGGGCTCCTTCTCAGACTCCGAAGAGGCCTTGTTGCGGTAATTTTGGAGGAAGCGGGCGAAAGAGCGCAGAAGCAGAGGATGGTTCTTCTCCGGTCGGAACTGAGCGATGTAAAGAATCACAGGCTCCCGGGATTTTTCCGTTGCGGCATCGACGTGGATAGTGGATTCGAGTTCAGACACCGCGGTAGGCGGGAAAATGACAGTTGGTTCGTCGAAAGTGTTGGTCTTTCGGGAAGGACCCCAGAGGCTGCGGACATGGGCAGACGTCCAGGAGGAATTGCACATAACGACGTCAACGTGGCCGCCAACCCAGCCGTAAAGGTTAGCGAACAGAACCCAGTACCTGCGCTTAACCTGGCCCCTGAAACCCTTTCCAGCGCCGGCGTTGATACCCTTGGTGCCAGTCTGGTCATCCAGAGAGCTAAGCATGTCGGTGGAGATGGTGGGGTAATGCACATAGGCACCAGTCGGGACGGAGGGAAAGAGTAGCTTGCTAAAGGCCAAGGTGAAGGCGTATCCCATGGTATCGACGAAGACGTCCGGGACGAGGAGATTGAAAGCGTCGTAGGCAACGATTAGAGAGCCCAGGGACTGGCCCAGTAGAGTCATGTAGGGATACATGCTGCTAACCACGTATTTGCGGGTGGTCAGGTAAAGCAGCACGACGGTGGGGGCATGTAGGTGTATGTTGAACCGGTTCTGATATGTCAGATTCCATGCAACTCACAGACAGAGATGAGACTTACTGCCACCCGTTCCAGCATGGCTGTCTTGTTGACCTCGTGATCGCCCGTGTAGATGGCGCAAATGGCCTTGGGCCAGCGCTTCTGGGTCGCTCTCACGGCTTCCCAGAGGACACGTTCGCCTCCACCTCCGGCGTTGCTACACGATGTTAGTTTTTGAGAAGCATATTTTGGAGGGAGGAGCCATACCAGAACGGGTGGAAGAACCCAATGATTCCATTCCAGTCATCGCTGGTACTGGTGCCAGCTGTTCCGGAACTGGCACTAGAAGAGGTATCGACCTTTTCCCAATCCTCATCTTCTGTGGATGCTGGTTTGGTAGATTTCTTTCTGGCGAGCTCCTCCTCCTCGGCGCGGACGCGCCAAACGATGTACTCGCGACGAGACCTGGTTCGTTTCTGCACGGCCCATCCCACAACACGGAGCACCAGGCGGAGAACGGCCAGGGGTAGCTGAGGCAAGAGAACGCAGGTGGCGAGGAGGGCGAGAAGGGTGAGGAAGGACTTGAGTATGAGTAGCATCATGGTTCAGTGAGGAACGAACATGATAAAGGTAGAAAGGGATTGAAGGAAAGAAGGAAGTACTGTAAGTTGACAGCGTGGAGAAATACGTAAATAAGTTGCGTAGCAAGTTTAGTCTGTTACGACTAAGTGGTGGATCTCAAGCAGTTCCCGCCGGCTGACGAGTCACAGGACCGATAAGATAGCCTTTGACCAGGTGGTTAGCTGCTTATCAGCACGTGACTATACCGGCACTGTACATCCAGTCAACTCCGCAGCCATTTTCTACTCTTAGTGGGTCCATCCTATTTACAACTTCTCTAATCTTCTTTCCCCCCAGCATCCATTGTATGCTCCTCTTCTCCTTGTACATATAGCCCTTCTCTCTCCCTCCCTAATATACACGCATCAATCAACAGATCAAACCCAATTGACCTTTCCCATCCAACCGCAACCATGTACCACCACCCCGTGCGCCTAGGTCTAGGTCGCCCAGCCCTCCTCCGCCGCGCAACAACAACATCGACAAGAGCACTACTATCCCGACCCCAAACACGACACTTTCACCCCACACGACCGGCCCCCTTCCTCGCCGAGATCATGGACTCCTCATGGCTGGTCCATGGCGTCCACAACCTCTCCGGCCTCCCGTGGGCCTACTCGATCCCGCTAACCGCGCTCATCGTGCGAAGCTGCATCGCCCTTCCCATCCAAATCTACACCAAGCTCCAAGGGCGCCGCGAAAGAGCCGCGCAGCCCCTCCTCGCCTGCTGGCAGAGCTACTACCGGTCGAGCATCGGCGCGAAGCGGGAGCAACAACAACTCCAAGCCCTACAAGAACCAGGCGGGGGGGGCCGGCGCCGCCAACCGTCGGTGCGGACGCAGACGGCGGTCGCGGTCGCGCGCCAACGCAAGGCCCTGTTCCGCCGGCTGGGGATCAGCCGGTACTGGAAGGGGATGTTCCTGCTGCCGATCCCGGCGTGGCTGTCGGTGATGGAGACGATCCGGGCGATGGCGGGGTGCGAGAGCGGGCTGCTGGCCTGGCTGCTCCGGCTGGTCGGGTCTTCCACGGCCACCCGCGTCCCGGTCGAGCCCACGCTCGCGGCCGAGGGCGCGCTCTGGTTCCCCGACCTCCTGGCCGGGGACGCCACAGGCGTGCTCCCCGCCGTGCTCACCGCGTCCATCCTCCTGAACATCCACGTCGGCTGGAAGGTGCCCCGCCTGGCGGAGTTGGCCGACCTGCCGCGCGCCCAGCTGCCCAAGCACCTGTTCCTCCGCACGCTCCGCACGTTCGCCCAGCTCATGGCGCTGAACGTCGGGCTGTCGACGTACCTCTACGAGACCCCCGCGGCGTTGTTGCTGTACTGGGCCACGAGCAGCAACATCGCCACACTGCAGAATCGGGCGCTGGATCGCGTGATGGGGCTGGATGATGGGGCGAAGAAGGAGCCGTCGATGGGGAGCAAGGGTATGCTTATGCTTTACCGGACCCCGATGGGGCAGGCCGAGGAAGCCCAGAAGCAGGCTGGTGTTGTGGGGTGAATAAGGGGCTGTATAGCCTTGGAATACCAGAGTTCCTTCACCTGGTTTTCACCCATCTTATCGGCAAGAGTCGTCTGCCGTTTTGACCCTTTGTATAGGGATGGAATACTCATTGCGCCGGTGCGGAATAGCTCGACAGTGCTGATGGGCAACTGTCACTAATCTCCGACGAAGTGGGTGTTACGAAGGCTGCTTGCTCATTTGAGCAAGGCGAACATATGATAGAAGCCGAATTTGTGCCCCCCCCCTCCCGGAGAGGTCGTACGCCCATTCTAATGTGTATCAATCCCATCTCACTCCGCTCAGTCATGGTATCCGGAGTTTGGGCGGTGCAAGTGAAGCGCCAAGGGCTGCAATCCCTTTATTTTGCAAGAACTCGAAGGCAGACCAAAACTGCTGGGAGCCGCCCTGGATGACTATGCTCCTTGGTTGAATCATCCTCTGCACCATGTGCATAATACTACATGGAAGATGCTCAAAAGTGTGGGTCATACCTGGATTATGAATGCAATATTTTAAGAATTTCATAGCATATCGTTACCTATAAGATGCTCGCCTTTATGTGTGAAAATGCATATTGAAACAAACTTTATCATCCCAGACCCGCGGGAAGTAATGCCAAATAGATTCTGCATAGCAGATTTAATTAGCTCACCTAAAGAGCATCCTTGCAGTATCCAGTGTGAACCGAACGGAGTTTAACAAAAATGAAGTGGAGTGATGGAGAATAAGCCAGGGTCTACCCCATTCTTCCGCACGATGGCTCCGACTGACTGTCTGTATGGTTGGCAAGGAGGCTCGCGTTAAATCTCGTGAGTTGCGGTGGTGGCTGCTTGAATCACAATTTCGCTTTGGGGGTCTCCTCGGATGCACTAGCCTCCTGGTTCACAGTGATTGTCCGGGTATCAGGGCCCTCGCCGAAGAAGATGACCTCGACGGTGACGTCGTCGCTGGAATCAAGCGGGTTAGCATCAAACACGTCGAAGACGCACGCAGGAGGTACTTACCGGTATCGCCGAGAATAGGGGCTCGGAAGCGTCAGTAGAGCACAAACCATGTCCTTGTCCTTTCCGCCCATGGCATTCCGCACAAGATGGGTTGCCGCGTTGTTATCTTCCACGGTGAATCGGCTGGCCGCACCAGAGATATCATACTGCTGCTGGCGGATAGGACGGCGCTGACCTTCTGTGCCGGTCTCGGCGGTCGCTTCGACAGGGAGCTGTTTGTTTTCAAATCCAAACCAACTGCGCAACCAGGCCTTGCTGCTACCAGACTGCTGCTGCTGCTTGTCCACCCACTCCCCTACCAACCCAACAACTTCCTCGTTGCTCAGCATCTCCCAGAGACCGTCCGTGGCGAGCACGAGAAAGTCACCCCGACTAGGTTCAACCTTGGTTGTGGTGATGATGGGCTCGGCGGTGACATACGGAGGAGTCTTCAGCAGCGGATGAGGCGTGCGGCCGAAGAATTGCCGTTTGATCTTGTCCTGTGTCTCCTTGCTCCACTTGTAGAAGGCATCGCCAAAGGATCGGCTAGGCTCTAATTGACCGAGGATCCGGCCGTTGCGGACAACGTTGGCTTCTCCCGGGTGTTCCTGACGGAGACGTTGCATCTCAGATGGAGTGCCGCCGGTCTGATCTTCAGAGAGCGCTGTCGCAGACCACTTTCCATTCGGGCCCCGACGACCCAGAACAGCCCGCGAATCACCGGCCACGGCAACCTTCAGATCCTTTGATTGAGAGTCGTAGAAAGCCAGCAGAGCACAGGAGCCGGAAAGAGCGGGAGCCAGCATCTCAGCCGCAACACGGCGGGAATTTGACTTCAACACCTTGTCGACGCTTTCGTACACGATATCATTATCCAGGCGAACAAACCCCTGTTTGATGGCAGCATCCACCGCTTCAGATGACGGAGTAAGGATTAATGGGTCCGCAGCTGCAGCTTTGTAGGTGGAGTTCAACTCCCGAGCAACATATGAAATGAGGACATTGCGCAGCTTAGCGGAAGTAGTCCAGCCACTGTAGGGAGCCGTGAGCGTTTGCTAGTCTGAGACAAGGGAGGGAGCTCACGAGTGACCATCGAATACGCCCCAGAACATCCAATCACTGTTGGCGTGACCTTCTTGAGCTGCCGCCACCGACGACGGGACCTCGACAACCTTCTCGGCATGATCATCCTCGATAGGAGAATTACTGGGGACCTGAACTATGTCGTAACGTACCACACCCTGACCGCGATTCACCAGGTATGACTCCTCGTTCTTCCGCAGTTTCTGGGTCGCCTGTTCCGGAGTCAACATCTCGAGGACCCGACGGTCGGAATCGTCCGTGTGCTTCGAGAGGGGTTGTTCTCCAGATAGGGTAGCGGTATAAAACTGGTCGTTGTCCACCAGGAGGGCACGGCGGGTGGTTTCCACGGGATCTTCAGCGTGAGCGCCGGCTGTGGAGGAAATCGAGCGGATCTGCGAGGCGGATGTTGTTCCGTTCAAGGCTGTTGTCGGCTGGGTACCGGCATTTCCTTGATATGCATACCAGGCCCCTGAGGCCACGACCGTGGAAATTACTGCAAGTGAGAAATTCCGGAGATGCATCGAAGATTGTAATGTGGCAGGAAGAAAGGGGGGATATCTGCCCGCAGAGAAGGAGGATGGACGGATACTGAAATTGGGACTGCTGGAGAAGGACACCGCGCACGGTTTCCTACCAGCAGCCTTCCATCCTGCTGGCACGCGACGGGCGGTACGGAGAGCGTGTAGAGCCGCGCGACGCATTTGATTGACAAACTAAGCGAGAAAGTGTAGACTGTAAATTCCGGGCTTTCTCCCTGTGTGATTCAGGAAAATTCGGAGAAAGCGAGAAACTCAAAAGTCAATACGTACTTTGGGGGGAGGAGGAGAAAGGTGAGAAATGCGGAGAGAGACAGCAGAATGAGGGAAGGGAGAGACGATTGCGTCATGTGATAGTGACCGACCGCCCTCTTTAACACGTTATCATCACGTTATCAATCAGTAAGTTGCAGTACAGACAGTACAGACAGTACAGACAGTACAGACAGTACAGACAGTACAGACAGTACAGACAGTAACTTACTATGTACAGTACAGTACTCAAACAGTACTGTACCCAATGATCACCTTCTCCTTACTGTCACTAAACCGCACCACAATTCATTGATCAGTCACAGAAAGATTTGTGTCTAAAGGTAATATGAATCCAAAATGTAAGCATGCGGGTGAGAAGAAAAGGGATATCCCAAAGAAAAACAAAATCCCAAAGTAGGAAATAGGAAATCAATGAATCAAGCATGCCCTTCCTATCAAGGACTATCTGATGTATCTCGCGCACAAATCCAACTGGTGCAGTTCCTATGGGTATGAAAAGCCAACAAAATCCTTCGTGGTCACATATAATAATAAAGAAGAGAAAGATTCAAAAGGGGAAGGAAAATGAAAGAAAGGAAGAAAGCTGAAGAAGGGTAAGAACAGGTCCCATCGGCCGTCACCAGGGATCCGTCTGCCTTAAGGAGGGTCGCCTAGCCAAGTCCCAACGCCGAATTCCTTCTATCGCAAACCGCAACCATGACAAAATTGGTCCCTGGCTATTCGGTAATAGAAACATTAGGGCCAAGCACTAAAACAAAGGAGCAAAGAACAGGGCCAAGGCGGAAGAAGGTTTCAAGAATGTCAAGCCCTGCAAATATCAGGTTTGCAGAGAAAGGACTCATGCCCTCCAATCGCTCTCTTGGTAACTGGTCTCACCCGGGTTGATCCCAAGCATATGTCCCTGGCTATTCATGTCATAGATGCCTGCGCCACCCGCATAGCCTCCGCTGATGCCAGACACTGTACTCAGTCCCGACTCGTCATCTTCAAACCCAAATTCGCCGCCGGAGCTTGCATCAAAACTGCTGCGACCCCCAATGTCGCTGGGATCATCCGCCGTAGCCGGGATCTGATCCCATTGTAAAGTCTGCAAGGCTGGGTATTGGGCCAGCAAAGCGGCGGGGAGAACGAAAGCCCCGGTGGGTTGGCCGTCCATGCCTGGAACCATCAACGGCGGAGGCATCGGCTGAAGATGCTGCTGCTGCTGATCCATAGCTGAGCGCTCTCGGTCTTGAGATTCCTCATCCAACAGGGGCTTGATGCAAATCCGACCAGCCTCCGATCGAAAATGGCGACCGAGAGCATCGGCACGTGCGAAGCGACGGCCACAGCCCCATTGACCACCTCGAGACAGCTCGCCTCGACAGACAAACTTCTTTTCCCCGGAATGGAGTCCTTCGTGTCGCTTACGATCATGCTGTCGCGCAAATGCCTTCCCACATACTGTGCAAACAAATGGTCTCTCATCCGTGTGTGTTCGCAGGTGAGACCGAAGGTTGTACGCTCTGGTGAAGCGTTTGGGACATAGATGGCATTGGAATGTTGCGGGGTGTTTTTGAACTCGCTTCGAGTCGTTGAGATTCGCACCGGGACGCTGAGGATCAGCGAGTCCCAGAATGTAATTCCGACTATCGATAGATGAGGTCGATAAGCGACGGCCTGACCGCGACGGTGACGGTTCTCGAGAACTGGGGTTGCTTTGAGGTTGGCGCCCAACCGAATCGAAGGGTGACAGCGACCGCGGTGATGACACATTGAACGGCTCCAGGCTTGCCGAGGTCGAAGAGGAGCGCGCACGCGAGGCTGGGTGAGCATAAGGATCTGATTTACTACGCATACGAGATCCTAAGGGCAAGTCAAGTTAGCAGTAAGCAAAATGGGCCGGGCGGAAACGCTTACGGATAGCAACTGGTGGGCTTAAAGAATCCAAATCTGCAGCCGGCTTCGACTGAGGTTGGTTCGAATTTTGGGACGGGGGTGCGAATTCAACATTGATGGAAGGAGGCGCCATTTGGGACGCCTGTCCCATGTCTCCAAGGCCACTGTTTCCCTGGGCTGACAGACTCTCCGTATATATGTCGGTTGGGGGAGTCGGGTACTGCGTATTCAGTGCGGGTGCAGAGATATATGGAACGTTAGGAATCATGTCCGCCCCCTGCTGCGGCATCAACTGCGGTGAAATATAGGGACTGTGTGCCGGACTCAGTGCTGGTTGCGAATGCGGTTGCTGATGCTCCGAAAGTGTGAAAGATTCTATCCCCAACGCGTTCTCGTACAAACCGGGATCGTTTTGCGGCGCAAGGAGGGGAGAAGGGTTGTTATCAAAGCCATCAAAAGATTCATGCTGCGACATGTATGGTGAAGGGGCAGCGGAAGAAACCTCTGACACCTCCGACGGAGCCCTGCGATGGCCCTGGAATGCAGAATTACCCATAACCGCCTGCCAGTCGTGATGCGAGTTGCCGGACATGTAGGCCGCAGTAGCAGGGTCCAGGGAAGTATGCCGGGAATGTTGCGGGGTATAGTAGGTTCCAGGGGTGGAAGTCGGAGGTGACATCGGGCCAGGGGAAGAGTGCTGGTGATAGTCTTGTGGCGAGACCGGAGACAACTGCGGTGACGACGAGCGATGAGTAGAGGGGATCTGGCTGATCAGGTCGGCAGGATTGACTCCGTGGTTAGCGGGTCGAGACTGCCCGTGAGGATCAAGCATCAGCGGTGAGTCGTATTCGGGGGCAGCCGTGCTGTTGGGGCTGGGGTTTTGATAGAGGGCAAAGTCAAAGTCGGCTGGGTTGGAATTCAGTAAAGTCGAGAAGTTCTCTTCTGAAGGCAGCTGGTGCTGCTGTTGCTGGTGCATGGACAAACCCGTCGACGGGTCTAGTTGATGCACTAAGTTGGGATTGAAGGACTGAGGCAACTGCAGGGTTTGAGAGAAGTTCTGCGACGCCGGAGCCAGCGTTTGCGCGGAGAGATAGGCCGCGGGGTTGTAGCCGTAAGAATCAGGTTGCGAGACGTTGGTGAAGGCAGGGAATTGAGTGGTCGTCGCGACCGAAACATCCAAGGTCAAGCCCGATGAGGGGTCATTATAAGGCTGTGGATTGTGAGCTGGACTAGGACTGCGATTGTGTCCGTTGGCGGAAGACTGCCCCGAATCGCGGAGCGTCTCTTGAGAAGCCATAATATGACGACGGGGAGATCCCAAAAATAGATCCCACGCGATGTAGGCTGTGGTGAGGAAGAAGAAAATAGATCAGGTCCGACTGGATGTCATCAGCAGAGGGATATGAACAAGGTTAAGAAGAGGCCCGGGGATGTGGGAGGAGAAGAAAGCGTGTAGGGAGTACAGTAGAGGAGAGGAGGGAAGCAGACGAGTCAGATGCGGCGGGCGGAGAAAGGAGGGGAGTTGGGCGGGCGACAAGACAATCTGGGAGATGAGATTCAATCCACAGCCAGGCACAGCAATAGTGGTAGGAAGGTGCAAGGAAGAGGTTAAGGTCAAGGGGGTGCGATTCGAGCTGTCATTCGCGTGAAGTACGAAAGGCTCCGTGGATCAGAGGGGTGGAAATGGCCGCAGCAGAGGGCAACCTGGAGGGATAAGATAATAATAATGAGGGAGACGATTCAGCCTCGTGGCGCAAGCATCAGCGGTCGGTCGGTCGGTCGGTCGGTCGGGAGAGTTTCACATTCTCGGGCAGCAGGGGACGTGCAAGAAACAATCCAACCAAACCTCCCACGTTTGATCCCTGTAGTTGCTATGGGACAGCAATCTGTAAAGGTATCGTGTTTATATAACCTGAAGGACCAGGAAAATGCAGCCTGGAGCAAGGAGCAGGAAGAGAAGAGAGATAGAGAGAGAGAGAGTGAGGTACAAAGGAAGCAGTGCGCGCGTGTGGCCAGTGCAGCAACTACAGAACAAACAGCCTGGATGCCTGACTGGGCGGCAGGCACGTGCTAAAAATCCTCAGTACTGTACTGTACCTTACAATACACAATCATCCTTAACCAACAGCGTGACGCCGGCAAGGCAGATTTCCAAGAGCAGTAATTACCCTAACCTAATATTCAATATTGAATAACTGAGTTACTTCTTACAGATCCTATTATACCTCGCGATTCGACTAGCCAAGCAAAGACCTGATATGGAAGCACTTTGCCCAATCGATGTGATCATGAATAAATAAACCCCATGGGCGAGCCGCTATTGAAAGGAAGTAACGCTGCAACCGCCATGCCCAGAGTTTGGGGGCCCAGATCCACTGCATACATAGCACAACAGACAAACAGATCATTTCAGCATCGTCTTCAACCCTGAAGAACTCAGAAAGACACTGTCCCCTCCAAATTAAACCAGGGCCTTCGTATTCCTCCTATCCAACTGTGCGACAAACAAAAGGTCCCCACCCAATCAGTGATACTCATGTCTCGTTCGCCTTGCCCATCACTTACCAGAGACGGACGGTTCCAGCAACTCCGCCTCCTTCCAGGTCTACAGCGAAGGGCTATGAGTAAAAAAGCTCAGTGGTCCGGCGTCGCGCGCAGGAATCAAACCAGTCTTACATGCTCACTGTTCCCGATCTAAGCCTTTCTAGAGTAACTTCGGGGGGTTGTACAGTAGTTACTGTCCTTATCTTGGTCAAACTCCTCCTGAACATAGTTAAAAGAAAATTAGCTTTCGGATGAGACAAAGGCCCTTTTCTAAAGGTTCGATCGATGCCCGCGCGGACCAGAACCCGGAAATTGCCGCATGTCAAAGTGGGCGGTGGACAAGCATTGGATCACGTTTGCACAGCCCCCCCTTCTCCACGCGAAAAGAGAGTGTGATAAAAATAAAGAATTCATGGGTTGAAGATGAAAAGTAAATTATCAAGGAGCAGCTCTCTTCAATCAAGGATAGAGCTTCGACTTCTTGGTAAATGAAATGTTTTATACCCAAGTCAAGGTGACCCTGGATTAGTGGATGTACATACTCCGTATCCCGGCCCTAATCTACCAGGCGTTG